CCCCCCCCTTCACCCAGTGAGGCTGTGCCAGGACCAGGCACCTTGTCCCTTGCCACCTACCCCAGCTGTCAGCACGCTCACCAAGGCAGCACCTTTGGTCTTTTTGTCTCCCCATGCAGAAGCAAACTGCCCTCCTCAGCGCAACCAAGAGCATCCTCCGGCCCCTTGGACAGGCATTGCCCATTAAACACTGCCGTGGATCCTACCTCCCAGCTCTTTCCTCTTACTTTCTGCTTTTATGCCTAAGAGCAGAGCACCCCCGTGCCTTGCCGACTGCCTGGGTGGTGTTTGCTGAAGATATGATCAGCCAGCATTGCAAAGCCTGTGATGGTCACTCCAGCCAGGCTAACACGTGTCTGAAGCTGAGGCAGTGAGCTGCAGCCTTGCTTCCCATACTCCATCGCTTGCAAAGCAGGAGCCTGCTACTGCCTTGAGAGGGTGCAGGGCTGCCCCTGGTTTTGTGGTTGCTCCTTGCCCCCAGAGGAACCAGAGCAGTTAGAGTTGTGAAAGCAGAGGTGGTGGTAGCTGTGGTACCCCCTTGCACATGCTTCAATAGTGGCTGGTCCTGCTTCAGGTGTGTCTTCCTGCTAACACCTTTCAGGGGAGTAAGGCAGAGGTAGCAGAGCCATTGTGCTCTGAGGCTTTTCAGGGGGCACCTCAGTTATCCTCAGGAGTGCTTGTCTCTCTGCAGGGTGACGCTTCTTCCTGCTCTCGCTCTTCTTCTGGGCTTGCTGGAGCTCTCTGCCGACCCCCGTCAAACCTACTGCTTGAGCTGGGACAGTGTTGGTAGCCAGAAACTTAGCAACACGCCTGTGGACCTCAGCAAAGACACCTTGTCCTGGCTGTGCTCCTCCAAGGCTGGTGGCACCTTCCCATCCTGGCTGTTCATTGTGCTGGGGCACAGTGGCAGGTGGTGGCTTAGGGACACGCGTATGCTGTCTGGTGTTCCCAGCGCTTGAACGTGCGGCATCGTTCTTTGTGCTGGAGGGCATCCTTCTCTCTTGCATCGCTTGACCCGAGAACCGACAAGTGCCCTTGTCCTGCCCCTTGCCAGGGCTTGTGGTAGCCATCGGCACTCTTAATCGGTGACCCAGTCTGCGCTAGGAGATCGTGGCAACCTACCCATGCTTCTGTGTGTAAGGGCAGTGATCACAGAGCCCTGTGGGGTAGTGACCTCCTGCCTCACACCACAGCATGCCCTTTCCACAGGAGCATGCCTGACCTCTCCTGGAGCCCCCGATTCCCTTGGCCTGAGGCTAGCCATGCCTCTGACCCCATCCTTCTCCCTCCCTGGCAGAGCCAGCACCAATGTGGGGCAGTGGGCATGGAGAAGGCCTCTTGGGTCCCATCCTTAATCTTCTTGTGGTGTTAGGATAACCTCGACTCCACTCACTTGCTTTGTAAGTGCTTCGCTTTAAAAAGCCTCCATCTACGTGCAGGTAGTCTTGGAGCTCCCTCTTCAGCTTCCCGTCTTTGGCAAGGTTTGGCCCCCTCTGTCTTCTCAGCACTGCTTGTCATCCTCATCATCATCTCTGCGACCCACTGAACAGAGATGGGTTAGCCTGGGCATCTCATAGCATGGCACTCATCTCCGTTTTTCCCTCCAGTGCTGCTCTGCCCTCTGCTCTTCCAGTACCAAGGAGCCAAAAGCACACCATGGCATCATGCTGGGCTCTCCTCGGGGCTGCAAACAGCAGAAATTCACCCCCGCTGCAAGGCCTCTGGGATTTTAAAGGGCTGAAGGCCTGAGAGCTTGGTCAAAGCTTGCTCAGTCCCTCCAGCAGCGGGGTGATGGGCTGTGTAGTTGCAAGGTGGCACACCACTGTCTAATCCATAGTCCCATGACCTTCAGCTAATCTCCCTTCCCCTCTCCCTGTTGCTTCCAGCTGGGGACTCAGCGGGTGCTGCTCCGCTCTGAGGGAGGCCATGTGTCCCATCCTCCTTCCTTCAGCAGGGCCATGAGGGTCTTTGCTTGTTCTTCCCATCACGTCATCCATCTGATTTCCAGCACTTGTCTCTCAGCTGCTGCTTCTCCGGATTCTTGTCCCTGTCATCCTCCTTCAGGGTCAAAACAGGAAGACTGTATTTTCATCTGTGTTTTTTTTCTTTGCTTGTAGCCTTCAGCTCAGCCATATCTCTTCTTGCACCCCCAAGGTCCCAGCCTGCTTTTGTCATCTTGGAAGTGCAGTTTAATTTAGGTCTCTGGACCATTTTCTCATCTCTTTGCCAGATGCCCTCTGCCTCCTTTCGTGGTGGAGGCTATCATCTGCCATGGATGCTTCTGCTGCAGGTTCTCCATCTAGGTCCCTGCCTGTGCTGGGAGTGAAGCGGTCTGGGATATTCACCTCTCTTGCTTTCCTATCCCTAAGCCTGCGGTCATTCGCCTCTAGCTGCCTGTCCCCCTCCCTGCTGGAGGGATTTCCAGGCAGGAGGCCCAGCTGAGGCTGTGGAGCAGGCTGGGCTGAGCCTGGCTCCAGGCAGCATGACTGCTGGGGCTCAGCTGCATTCCTTCTCCTGGGTTTCCCTGCACTGAAGCACTAAGTGTGGGGGAAGACTGGTGTAGTGGGAACATGGCCCAGCAGACTCCCAGCCTTTCCTCTTCCTGGGAGCCATGGCCAGTGCCTCTCCGGAGCACTGGAGCTGCTGCCTCATGGCCGTACCAGAGCCAGAGGGGCTGCGGCACCCTCTGGTTCCCACCTCCTCTCTTTGAGCTGTACAGGCCTCTTCTCTCCTCCATGGCAGCTGCTGCCAGCCCCTCCTCACAGGGGATGCTGCATCCCCTCAGAAGGGGCTGAGCCAGCAGCATCCGTGGCTGAGCACGTGATGGGCTCAGGGCACCGTCCGAGAGGCCTTTGCTTAAGGCTACCCTCTGCTCTCTGATCTCTCCTCTCTCCATCTCACCTGGGGCGAACTGACCTGAATTAACCTCTGATCTTCCGGGCGCTCTTGGTTCCTGGCCAGGCTGCCTCCTCGCATCTCCTAACTTTCTCCCTCACCTCCCGCTTGTCATTCTAGCGTAGCCTCCGCCCTGCACTCCGACAACCATGACCGCTACGAGCGCCTCACCTCCGTCTCCAGCTCTGTGGACTTCGACCAGAGGGACAACGTGAGTAGCAGCAGGAGTCACACACCTTGCCTTTGAGTGGCCAGGAGCCCACGGCTTGTCTGAACCAAGGGCTCTTCAGAAGAAACGCTGTTTGCCCATCCCCGGGCCTCGTGTCCCACGCTTTGTAGTGTGCGAGGGTGGTGCAGAGCTCAAGGAAACATAACTACTTGGCTTTTAGATGCGTGCTGGAATACATAGGCCATACGTCCCTGTGGCTAGGTGGGACACATGTCCGTCAGTCATCTCAGCATTGCGAACAATGCTGACCAGCTTGTCCTCACAGCACTGTCTGCCTCTGCTGCTGTTCTCTCTAAAGGGGAAGCACGGTTCAGTAGGATGACGGGGTGTGACGGATGGGTGGTGAAGTTCCCAGGAAATACTCCTCCTTCAGGCATTCTTTGAGGCGTGCTGACTTGGCCCAGCCCTCCTTCCCAGTCCCTGCCGAGCTCCTCTCGTCTGGGATGATGGCTAAAGCATGGTGAATGTTCTGGGTGTCCCTAGGCTGTGGAGAGCTTCCATGCTAGTCAGGAGCCCTGGAAGGTTGAGCTGCCCGTTGGTGTGGGACAGCCGCATGGCAGAGTCCAGTCTGCATTGTGCCCTATGGAGTAGCACTGTCCTCTCCTCCGCTTTGGCCCATCCGTAGCTCTGCACATCTGGTTGCTCGTGCTCTGTTCCCCCTGGCCCAAGTCCGGGGAGGTGCAAGGACACCGTCCTGGTACCCTGAGGCTTTGAAGGGAGAGAGCAGGAACAAAGGAACACAGAGTGATGTGTGGTCCTTCTGTCTTCTTTCTGCACAGGGTTTCTGCTCCTGGCTGACAGCCATCTTCAGGATAAAGTAAGTGTCCCAGGACCGGCACAGGGGACCCACGTGGGCAGCGCAGGGTGACGGGACACTTGGTGCGGTGCAGCCGTGTGAAGTCTGAGCCCTTGCTGCAGCCCCCTCTCTGAAGGGCACAAGCAAAGTGTGTCCTCTGGAGAGGACAAGCAGAAATGGGACTAGATGGGAAGCCAAAACCCAGGTCACGCAGTGAGCCTGAGACAGAGTAGAGCACCCAGCCAAGGTGTCCCCTGCCTCGGTCCCATCCGCTGCTCTGCAGGGATGCTCCTCTCCCTGGGACTCCTGCTAGGGGCGCTGCTGTCCATGGAATGTCTACAAAGGGTGGGTGGGAGAATGCAGGGGCACCCCCCCACACCCAGCCTGACGATGCTCAGGAGTTGTCTCCTAAGCACTTCTTGGCTCCAGAGTGCTGTGGGATAGCGTCACTCATCCCATATCTTGACAGGAGAGGCAAGGCCCACCAGAAGGGGATGAGGTGGGGTCTGTGTGTGTCCAGCTGCCTGTGCTGGGGGGTACAGGGCAGGGGCATGGGGAGTGGGACCGCGGGACCGCAGTAAGCGTGGCACAGGCAGCTGTCTGCCTGGGCTGGTTTGAGGTTGGGTGCCAGACTCCCTGTTTTAGGGCCTGGCCACACTCTATAGGGCAGAACCAGAGGTGCTGTGTGGGCTCACACCAGGAGGGCAGCCATGACCCTGTGCTTTTCTCCAGCACTCGAGGGAACATAGAAGATTTGCCTGACAGCCTTTCTCTCCCGTGCAGGGATGATGAGATCCGGGACAAGTGCGGGGGTGATGCGGTGCACTACCTGTCCTTCCAGAGGCACATCATCGGGCTGCTGGTGGCTGTGGGTGTGCTCTCCGTGGGCATTGTGCTACCTGTCAACTTCTCAGGGGACCTGCTAGGTGAGAGCAGAGAGCCTTTGGCTGGGCTGGGGGAACTGCTTTCAACACCATGTCCCAGACCTCTCGGGGGCAGTGGAGGGCAGGACAGGACTAACACAAACTTTGACTGCTGTCCCAGTTTGAGCGTGGCTCATGCAGAGGGTCGTCCTGGGCAGCTTGGGTTTTGGTTTTTTTTTGCTGTAGCCAACCCCAGTGATGCTCTGTGTCACTCAGTATAACTGAACGTGCTTATGTTTGCCTCTTCTCCCTAGAAAACAACGCCTACAGCTTTGGGAGGACAACTATTGCTAACCTGAATTCTGGGTATGTGTGGGCGGGGGTGAGATGGATAATTGAGGCCTTCGGGGGGTATTTTGTAAATGTGCACTTGCTGCACAGCCTCACCTCCTTGAAGGTTGTATTTCTGCCCTTGCTGTGAGGCTAGTGTCGCTGCTCCCACATCCAGGCTCAGCTCCTGGAAGTTAGTTGTAGGGCATGTGGGTGCCATGCTGGTTATGCCTCTCGTGGCCGCAGCGCCTTCAGGGCCTGACCAGCCCTACGCGGCCTTGTAGTGACAACCTTGCACTGACCTTTGTGGTCTCCCTTGTGACAGGAATAACCTGCTGTGGCTGCACACATCTTTTGCCTTCCTGTACCTGCTGCTGACGGTGTACAGCATGCGCCGGCACACCTCCAAGATGCGCTACAAGGAGGATGACTTGGTGAGCAGGACCTGGCCGCTGTCCCAGGCGCGTTTTCCTGCGCCCTTCTGTCAAGTCAGGTGGCCATGGAGAAAGTGCCGAGTACCCCACTACCCACAGCAGCGTGGGGGTGTCTTGTTTTGGCTGTTCTTTCCTTCTGCCTGGCCAAAGGCAGATCTCCTCCAGAGCAGCAGCTCTGACTGCCTGTGGGGGACACAGAAGAGGCCTGCGCTGGGTGAAAGTGATGCCATCAGGTAGTGGAAGCATAGGACAGGGGAAGCCCTGTGTGCTACACCTGATGAGGCTGCCCTTTCCCATTGCTGACTCAGGCCGCGGGGTGGGGATGTTGCTGCAATCTTGTCTTCCACACCATCCACACCTATTTACCTTCTCCTTTTCCTTTCTTCCTTCCTTCCAGGTTAAGCGAACTCTCTTTATCAATGGGATCTCAAAATATGCTGAGCCAGAGAAGATCAAGAAGCATTTTGAGTGAGTCTCACTGTGTCCCTAATTAAGGGCTGCTCTGTAACGGGGATGTTTTTACTGGGGTAGTGCTAGTCTTAACCTGGAGTGGTGGTAATACATTGAGAGCAGAAAGCTAGTCCAAAATTGGTAAAGGCTTATTTTTGGCATCTCACTGTTGGGTTTTTTTTCTGCACAAATTTATATCTGAACATGCATTGTCCTTGGTTTTGTGCCTTGTGGTATACCCAGCCATCTCTTGCAGAGCCATAGGGGCTCAGTGGTAAGTAGTGGACAGGGCACATCCCGAGATGCAGTCGAGTTCAGAGATGAGGTGCAGGCGGGAGGTGCTCAAGCAGTGACACTGGGATGTTGTGCTGCTGCTTCTGCCCTTATCACGATCCTTGTAGAAAAGCCTATTTTCCTTTTTAACAAAAACATAAAGTTCCTCTTCCATCAGGGCCCAAATGGACACAGTCAGGGCCGTGTTTAGAAGCACCGTGGGGAGAGGAGAAATGCTTGATACTCTTTGGGAACCCTTCTTCCTCTTTCCAACTCCAAGCCCTGTAGCCCATGAAGACAGAGACGGGGTGTGGGGTCAGGGCGGTGCCTTGCTGCCCCAGGGCTAAAGTCCTAAGAGGGTCCTCATGCCAGAGCCCAGAGGATGTAGCGTTTGCCCCAGGTGTTGCTTCTGCTCTAAGGGCCAGAGCCCGCAGGCTCCCCTGCTGCCCCCAGCAAGCTCTTGCTATGCGTCGTGGTGCTTGGCCCAGGGAAGGAGAGAAGTCCAGGAGTCGTGGGGTTTGATTGAGGGTGCAGCCTTTGGCACTGGGTGTGATGAGCTGGTGCTTCCCCTCGCAGGGAGGCCTATGCCAACTGCACCGTCCTGGAGGCCCGTCCCTGCTACGATGTGGCCCGGCTGATGTTCCTCGATGCGGAGAGGTAACCCCTGGTTTGGGAGAGGGGGCAGAGGCTGCGGGCTCCCCTGTGTGCGGGTGCCACAGGAGCGTCTTTTCTGAGCCCCTCTCTCTCTCTCTTTCCTTCCTTCTCTTCCACTCTCCTGTTTCAGGAAGAAAGCTGAGCGTGGGCGAATCTACTTCACCAACCTGCAGAGCAAGGAGAACACCCCATCCATGATCAACCCCAAACCCTGTGGCCACCTGTGCTGCTGTGTCATCAGGGGCTGTGAGGAGGTGGGGGGGAGCCAGAGGTGTTGGGTGGCAGGACATGTGGGGGCGTGGGTACCCAGGTCTCTGCTCTGACTCCTGTCCCCTGTCCAGGTGGAGGCCATTGAGTACTACACCAAGCTGGAGGAGAAGCTCAAGGATGACTACAAGCGGGAGAAGGAGAAGGTGAACGAAAAGCCTCTGGGGATGGCCTTTGTCACCTTCCACAATGAGACCATCACAGCCATGTGAGTGCACAGGGTCCTGTCCTCCCCAGGAAGGTGACCTGTCCCAGCTCTCACCTTAAATCCAGAGGAATGCCAGCACAAAGGCGTCAGCTCACCCCTGCCAGCCTTCTGTGTCAGCATCTCCCTCTTGTTCTCCAGAATCCTCAAGGATTTCAATGCTTGCAAGTGCCAAGGCTGTGCATGCCATGGGGAGCCCAGGGCCTCCTCCTGCAGTGAGTCCCTCCACGTTTCCAACTGGACCGTCAGCTATGCCCCTGACCCACAGAACATCTACTGGTGAGCAGCTCTGGGGCTCAGTGGGTCCTGACAATGGGAAAGGGGTGCACCCACTCCCCTTCCCTCTCTATCTGCTCCTCTGGTAACTGTATGAGTTGTTCTTGCTGAAGCTCCGTCTGGCTGAGGTCTGATCTCGCTCGGAGGGGGAGAGCCTTGGGTTGGCACCCCAAGTGCTGTTCACGTGGGCTGGGCCGTGGTGTGAGTGTGAGGCCCCAGGCCTGCCCTTCTCCCCCTTGCAGCCATCCTGATGCCCTCCTTCCCCCCTCCCAGGGAACACCTCTCCATCCGGGGCTTCATCTGGTGGATCCGCTGCCTTGTGATCAATGTGGTCCTCTTCATCCTTCTCTTCTTCCTCACCACCCCGGCTATCATCATCACCACTATGGACAAGTTCAATGTCACCAAGCCTGTGGAGTACCTCAATGTGAGGCCTTTGGGGGTGGGGATAGGGTGGGTAGCACGGGAACCACCCCTGGCACACAGCCCCTTGTTGTGAGGAGAGATATTGTCGCCATTCCCCAGGTCCTGTCCACCTGAGCACGAGGGGAGGTGCTGAGCCTGGCCAGGGTGTAGTGGCAGCTGTGATGCTGGGGCCTCGGCATCGGCAAAGGCCGCTGCAGCTGGCGCAAGAGCTGCCTTACCCTGTAACGTGCAATTTCTGCCTCCTTGCAGAACCCCATCATCACCCAGTTCTTCCCCACCCTGCTGCTGTGGTGCTTCTCTGCTCTGCTGCCCACCATCGTGTATTACTCTGCCTTCTTCGAAGCGCACTGGACCAGGTAAGGACAGTCAGTGCCTGTTGTTCTTAGTCGTTCAAGGGTGCTGCCTGGCCACTGGACACTTCTCACTGGCTCCTGGCTGGATCCTTCCACTTGAACTCGTGTCTTCCACTCCAGGCATGGTGTTACACCCGAGCTCTGCCGTGGAGAGCTGTTCTGCCAATCCTTAGGTGCCACTGTGCAGCCTGTGTGTCTGAGCAGAGCTTGATGTAGGTCTACAAGAAGGAGAAAGCTGGGAGGAGTTGGGGCTGGTCACTGAGAAGTGCAGATAGTGAGGGAAGCCTTGGCTCAGGTGACCAGGCAGGGGTGGTGTGGCTGTACCCATGTGTAAGCCCTAGCTCTTCCCAGGGAAAGTCGCCTTGGCTGCTGTGGCTTCTGGCCACAGGAGGGTATTTGAAGTGCAGAGCGCTAGGAATGTGCTGCTTTTGAGGTACATCCCACACAGGATGAGAGATGCAAGCTTTGGTTTCTGATGTGCTGCAGAGACTGGGGCTTGCAGGTCAAGAGAGATGATTGCAGAGTTCTCTAAAGACAGGAGGGTGGGGAGGGCCTCTGAGACAAGGGAGGAGAACTGGGACTCGTGAACAAACCTCAGACAGTGGAGAGAAAGGGGGCGTATTCAATAGGGCGGTATTGTGATTAGGCACTGGGAAGTGCTTTCTGATGAGAACGTGATGGGGGCACTGCCCCTGGGCTGGTGGGGTGACACTGAAAGGTTAACAGCCTCCTCTCTGCCCTCAGGTCCGGAGAGAACAGGACAACCATGCACAAGTGTTACACCTTCCTCATCTTCATGGTCTTGCTGCTGCCATCGCTGGGCCTGAGCAGGTAGGGGTGGCGGGAGGGAAAGCAAGTGCAGAGACCTGGAGCTCGGGGGGGCTGAGATGCACCCCCGGTTGTTCTACACTACATGCGGCCCTGAGGAGAAGGACTTGGG